TACGTAGACTACAAAATACAATGTAATTCTTTTTTTTCACCGCTAAATTTTCGAAAGTGAGCAGCAACCAAAACGAAGTCTTCTCAGTACAATATCTGTCTCTTATACACATCTAGATGTGTATAAGAGACAGCCCTGTATATAGTGACATATAGCTTACCACCGCCTACAAACTGGGTGACCCTGCCGACCACGACAAGCTTCTAAGGAAAGGTGGCCCATTTAGCTTCAACTACTAGGTATGGCAGAGACCTTTCTTCTGTGTACGAGTCTCGTTAATGTTGTGTAACATGTGTGATGATAATTGTGTGCCAGTCTGGATCTTATGTGTCAGGTCCTATCTTTGAGTCTGGATGTGCACTACATTACATTTGATCGTTGTCAATGTCTTCCATTTGAGTCGGGCTCCGATGGCTATTGCCTATTCCTCGCAGCCTTGCATCCGGTTGGCTATTGCCAATGACTAGTCCTTCATTACACGCTGGTCGGCAGGCGCGTCATTCTTTTTTTTTACAACCTTTTAATTGTATGTCAAAATACAACGCACCAGCCGACCCTGCTACGCTTCTAGGGAAAATAGGCCCATTTAGCCTCAAGTACTACGTATGGTTGATACCTTGCTGTGTGCCATGTGTGATGATAATTGTGTGCAAGTCTGGATCTGATTTGTCAGGTCGTATCTTTGAGTGTGGAGGTGCACTAAATTACATTACATCATTGTCAATGACTTCCATTTGAAGTCAGCGAGGTGGGTATTGCCTATTCGTCGCGCCCTTGCATCCGATCGGGTATTGCCAATGACTAGTCCATCCTTACATGCTGGTCGGCAGGTGCGTCATCCTCCTTTTTACAACCTTATAATTGTACGTTAAAAGACAACGCACCTGCCGACCCGAGTAAGCATCTAAGGAAAGTGGGCCCATTAACGCAACTCAAGTACCAGGTTTGGCGGGGACCTTTCTTTTGTCTACGAGTCCTGTAACTAGTCATATAGAGCTTACCACTGGGTAGAAAGTGGGGGGGGGGAGAAGGGGGACGAGTACGAAGTGGAGGAGGAGGATGTCCCAACAAGCAGTCCCAACTATGGAGGAGGGGGACGATGAAAAGGAGGAGGATAATGAAGAG